TTGGACAAGCTACTTCCGTAGTGATACTGCCTCGGAAACTAAGGGCGGGGGTCGCTATGAGTCGGGTCTGACTCGATGGCACATAACAACAGGGCGGAAAGGGTTCTGCCTCCACTGAGTACACGGCCCGACAGAGGGGGATATCCAAATACAAGTGGCTTCTTCCAAGAAGTCAGGGAAAATGAAGCAGGTAATCAACCCTCAGCTAGCATGAAATTCTCTCATGTGCCCTGCCTTACAGTTCACTGAGTGGTGCAAATGCTTAGCATGCTCAGCTGCTACCTTAAAGGCTGGAAGTTTGAATCCACCCAGAGGCAACTTGGAAGAAAGGCTGCTGATCTACTTCCAAAAAATCAGCCATTTAAAACCCTATGGAGCACAGTTCTACTCTGACACACCTGGAGTCACCATGAGTTGGAGTTGATTTGACAGCAACTGGGTATTGCCAGGAAAGAGCTCTTGACCTTACATTTGGAGAAGGGACAGACTATGAAATATGAGGGAGGTGGGCAGCACACAAGGAGATACTGATATTCATAATTAAGGAAAGTTTTGTATTATTCATGAAAATCCCATTGAAAGATTCATACAACCTATACAGAACAAACCTCCAGAATAACCAATCATGTTGTCTTTCTGCGTGAAAGTCCTTACGTGTGAGTTGCTGTACAGAATTTAGCTACCTATGCAACATATTGTTGGATACTGCACTGATAGATCAATCATTTTTACCAGCTAGCTTTAAAATGTATGTCATTAGGTAAAAGGGCAGACTTAACCAGAATGGGTGAGTGGTACTTTTTCCCAGCAGTCTCATTTCCAGAAATCTCAACCTCATTATCCACTTAAATGTTGCTAGAATTATCTAAATATGTTGTTGTTGTTGTTATGTGCCCTCGAGTTGGACCCAACTTGTAGCGACCCCTCCTTGGGTTTCCGAGGCAGTATCACTATGGAAGTAGATTGCCCAACCTTCCTTCCGAGGAGTGGCTGGTGGGTT